TATATATATATATATATATATATATATATATATATATATATATACTGTATATATATATATATATAACGGAAATAATGTGGAAAACATTGAAAATTTGTGGCCGGAATAGGACCACTGACCTGCATGTTTGCAGTGTTGTCAGATCGAATGCCATGGCCTTTAGTAAAGGATCCCCGTGGCCCAGGGTTTGATTTCAGAGCGAACGGCGTTCCGGTGCGTTGAACCGACTTAGCACCACTGGCTTTTTGTTACATAATGAATTATTCCTAAATTTACTTAAATTAATTAACACGGGAGAGCACGCAATATTTCTGTAAGATCCAAGCTATGGCAATTTCGTATTTCTGAACTCTTGCGATACATTAGTCGTATGATATTTCATATGTTCCTTCATTGTAGTTTCCTAAGAATGCATGGCATTTTTTGTCCTTTTTTAAATAATTTCCCGTGAACATGTTGTAACTTGATCGCTTGGCTACGTAATATATGTATGTCAGACATGTTCCGTGGACTGACGCCAATGCATTGAGTTTCTTGAGCAAGCGGTACCCAGTGTTGCCAGACGTACGATAATTATCGTACATGTATGATTATTCATTATAATGTACGATGTAGCATTATCGTACAGGTAAAAGTATGATAATGTGACCAATTGAAGCCGCTGATCCGAGGATCCATTTTTGAAACTATCGCTCTCGTGCATTACGCGATTATAGCATTTTTTTACATGCATTTCCACATTAATAAAAATGCGATAGTCACATATCACTCGAGAGCAATAGTTTCAAGAATAGACCCTTAGAAAATGGCACTTAAGAAGGATTCACAATGAGAGTCTATGCGAGTATGCCTCTGTAGAATGCAAATGGTAACAATATGCGCCCCCCTCCGCTGCGTCATGCTGCTGAAATTTCATGTTTGAACTATGTATTCGAAAATATATAGTTTGTACAATGTATGTATGTACCTTTCCCAATCAGCGACTTCAATTTCTAATATTATAATTTTTATATGATTTCAAAAAATTTCAATAGCTCTAGTTCAATAACAATGAGAAATGTAGTAAAAATTCTTCTAAACGCCTGAAGGACAAGCTTTTATCAGACTTTTTGTAAATGTCCTGGGACCCCAATTAATTGAACCATAAGAGATTTTTTATAAAGAAATAAAGTATATTTTTAATTTGTATATTGATCATGTATTTTATGTACAATTTTGGGTATTGAAGCATGGACAGATACTATGGAAAATGTGAGATCACTTTTTAATCAACACTGCAACACTTGACCTAAAAAATATATGCCTATTTATGCAGTGCTTATAGACAGGAGATACTTCCTACGTATTACATTTTCTGTTCTAGAGGGAAATAGAGACGTATGCATCACATAGGTATACATTTAATGTTAAATAATAAGAAAACGAAGAAAAGAAAAGCTATAAACTTACGACCCGCGGTGCAGGTGCCTTTTTTCAATGGCCAAAGTGTCTCGATTTCGTATAGTATTTTATCTTAATGAGTGAACTTTTTATGAAAACCAGAAGTCGAGCTAGCGAAAGTGAAAAGTTTAATGTTTTCAACTTTATATTACAACAAATTTACTTTTTTTATTTTGAGAAGATATTTTGTAAATAATAGTCAGAATGCATATTTTATAATAATGTAAAATATTTTTTAGGATTGGAAAGAACGTGTATTATACATATAAATACATTTTTTCGATACATACCATTTACGATACATCGCGTTTTAATATTACGAATGCCGAAATATAGGTGTTTCTCACGAAATAACTTTCCATGGGTCAGCGATGAAATAAAAATATGTTTTCCAGCATCTCTGTGCAAGCGCATAGTAGGCAAACGGAAAACATTAGGCCATAGTCCCTGTAGTAAAATGTTGTTTGTTAAGAGATCTTCACAAAATAAAAAAAATTGTCAACGCCGCAAAATGTACGGTTTAAAAAAACCACTGCCTAACGCCTTAGTAGTTATTCTGTGACCCGTCAGTTCTACCGTAAGCATGAACACAGTGTGTGTTATTGTGCATTTATAATTTTTGGAAAGGTGTTTATTATATTGTATATTGTAAGTATATTTCAAAGATCAAAATAATATTAAAAGCATTGATATTATTTAAAACATGATTATATTCGCAGTAAATTCATATTAAAAAAGAAGATCAATAATTATTTTATTTCTTTGTATATATGACAGTATTGTTCTATCGATATTTGATAGTATTTTACACTTAGTTATGTATAATTTTGTAAATGAGCTTTTTGATTGACTAGTTTCCAATTAGATTTATTATTATTATTATTATTATTATTATTATTATTATTATTATTATTATTATTATTATTAGATTGAATAGTATTGTAGAAAAATGCTGAAGGACGCTGTCCCAATTGAGAGCTTTTTCGGTTATATTAAATAATACATGAATTCAACGAGTTCTGAATGCTCTTTTTTGTGTATGCGCAGACTGAAAACTTACTGCTCAAATATGTTACCTATGAATGTAAAACTTGTTCAAAATCTTCAACATTTACAATTTTGAAAGTAATTAGTTTTAAACTAATTTTAAATAAATTTAATACAAAACAATTTTGTTTAATTTATAAAATTTATTTTTTATTAATAAATATTTTAATGATATGTGCTGAATGAATATTACATTTCATTATATATTCTTTAGATATTTTAAATCTAAAATAGGTAAACAATCAAATGTATAAAAGTAAATAATCTTTTTCTAATAAAATAAGCATAGATTTTAATATTTTTGATGCAGTAAATTTTTTAATAAATAATTATGATATATTAATTATGTTTTGTAATTCTGGCAAAACATAAATACTTTAATGATAATTGCAATTATCGAGGTATTTTATTTTTTATGAATTTTATTGAAATTTATTTTGTTTGTTTTCAGTGTATGAAAAGAATTTTAGAATGTGTGGTAAACATCTGAATCGGACTATTGAAGTGATGCTCATACTTCTGCAGCCGATAACCGTACACGAAATGTAAGCAAAAAGAATACTTCACGAAAATCACTGAAAACAATAACCAAAACGAAACATCGTATAGCAGCGATATAGCACACAGTGGGGAAAATCATCAGATTTCCGATTATGGCATCTGAAGAATAAGTGTAACTTGAGAACTTATATCTCGGAGTTGGTGTAATGAAACACACGGAACGAGAATATATACAGTGTTCCCCTGATCTTATTATAGACTACAAAAAAAAGCTGCCGAAAATTCCTATTTACTGGCTATTTACAACTTCAACAGCGATATGACTTTGAAGATCCAGTTCTTTCTTCAATATCCATTCTGACACCAGACAGAGCGTTATCAGCTTCAGAAGATGATCTGCTACTCACACAGGATGTACTTGTCATAAATCTCGACATGTACAAAATTTTGACAAAGTGCCACACAGTACACTCAACACAAACTTTCGGCGTTGCCTTCCTCAAAATGTAACCGAAATGGTTACATCTTTCCTGACAAACTGCACATTCGTAGTAAATGTGGGCAAAGCGAGATCCTTAAATCGGAGGATTGCGGACGGAGTCCCTCAGGGCTCCATCCTCTTTCCGCTAATGTTTTCATTGTATGTCAGTGACATCCCACATATACCACGAAGACCGCTCTTCCTTTATGCTGATGACATAGCCATCTTACCTAGTCCACAAACTCAAAATACTTCAAAAAACGATTAATTTGACGCTGAAGTGGGCGGAACAAAACCATTTGACTTTTTCAGCACAAAAGTCGCAGGCCATCTTATACACCCGCCGCAAACACAAATACACTAAACGTTTTAAACCACCAAATCATATTACACTTGGTACACTACAACTAACATGGGAATCTAAGGCCTACTTAGGCATCATTTTTGAGCGAAGGTTGCGCTGGCATTTACATGTCAGGCGAATTCGATCAAAATTACAACAAAGAGTTCGACTCTTTCAATCTCTTTTGAGGGAATCCTTGGAACTTCGCTTGGCACTCTATAAAAAGTGTTGCCGGGCCTGTGGACACCTACGCTGCGACATTGTCATGGACTACAGCACAGAACAAAGATACACTTGAGCTGGTACAGGGCATAGTTGTACGGCTCATAGCACGCCCTGCGTCTCGGAAACGGTTGAAAGTACTAAGGAAGAAACTTGACATCGAGTCCTTTACTCAATACTTGAGATGGCTTTCGTTTAAGGAAGTCTATCAAGCCTTTCAAACAAACGAAGCTCCGGCAACGCTAAAACAGTTAGCTCGACACGTCAAAGAAGACAAGCACTTCCCTCTGATATTCTAAGGGCGTAGTGCAACACAAAAGCCGATTTGGCTATTGACTAAGGTCCGACACGAAGCCACACCATCCACTTACACATAGCAGTAAAACGCAAAATGCGTGCGCACTGCAACACATAGCACACGAATCTTCGGCAATGCCAAAATAAAAATATCTCTATAATACTCCTTGGTCACAGGTACGGTCGAGTTTACATATGCATAAACATATCGAAGTATCAAGGAGTATACCGAGCTGTGGAAAGTGACCATGTAGATGTAAAAAATGTTTCATCTTACAGTAGTTATGGATCTGAAGAAATAAGGGTGACAGAAAGTGTGTCTAATAGCAATAAAGAAAGATAGAAGAAAATGAAATGCTATAACTAACTAACGTGAAGTTATCATTAAACTGCAATAGGAAAATTACGAAGTAGCAGTATCAAGTATGTTAATATAATCCCAAATGGTTAAGCTTTATTTTGTGTTGTGTATTCACGTGTTTGGATATAACCATTTTAATGTTGTTGATTGGAGCGGAATTCTATGATTTTGCTTATTTGCAAGTGAAATTTTGTGACATTTGTTCATAATTTGATGCTACGTAGATTAATATCGATTACAAAGAGCTTGTCATAGTTTACATTATTTCCTCACCTTACGAATTCTTCTTAATGTAACCGTACGCGGGATCCCAGTTCAATAAACTGCCAAAAGTAAATATTATTGTTTTGGAAAATAATGATTTAGTAAATAAGTCGGTAGAAGAAGACAAGTGACAACGTGGACGCAGAACCGAATTTTATATTCTCGTTAAATAACAGGGAAACTTTCGAACTAGAAAACGAGTGTTAGAAAAATAAACACTTTTAAGAATCATCCGGAAGATTTTCGAACAGCAGGGACACACATTTGAAGTAGAACGTAAAGAGGCAGAAAAATACTTACACGGAAAGACAACTGAATATAGTAGGCAACTGAAGTAAGTAACTTTCGAAATAAGTTGGAATTTCGGCAAAGCAGGTGAACCAGAGTTCTCCAAAGCAGGTTCACTTTGGAGAACGCGGAAAATTAATAGGCAAAATTTTCAGAACCTCTGAAAAGTGCCAAATCAGAATAGAGGTAACTAAAATATAAAATGTTCCAAAACGATCTCCGTGACAGAGGAAAATAGCGACGGCGAAGATTAACGCAGCTCACAGTTCGAATAAACACGCATGTTCGGGTACATCTATTGTAACCAAGAGGTCGCCGGTTCGAGTCCCACCCAATGATTTTAGATTTTGATGAAAGTTTTGTTGTAGAAAATTATTAGGGTTTCGAGATATATTATAGAAAATGATTTGAAGCATTTCTACTCACAAAAGCAATAAGCCGGACGTCTCTGTACGTGCTTTTGCAATTTATAACTTTTAAAAAAAATTTCAACTTTTTTTCTGATTTGTGAAACGTATGTCACGTGAAATCAATTGTTGCGTTTCTGTGCATCTGTATGAATCGATTTAAGTAAACTAATGAATTTACGAGATACAATTTAAATATATTATGAACACTATCCATGTGACCAACTTAGATATCCCTAACGGCTCAGAAATTATTATTATTTTCTCGCCTGACGAATTCTTCGTAAGAAGACATAAGTATGTAAACTTGCGCTAGAAAACGCCGAAATTTCGCCAGAATGAACCTCATTGCCGGGTTCTGGTAATGAAAAAGTGGATAAATCTAGTTGCTAAATTTAGAAAGAAATTTCTAACTCGTGGTGTTGCTAGAATCCATGTTTTGTTGGTTCTTCATACCGAAAAATCGATTAACGGCAAAATGTCCGTTTGTCTCCCTGTCCGTCTGTGGTTAACGCTAGGGCCTAAATCGTTGAGCTGATTTTCTTTAAAATTGATATGCCCTAATTAATCTTAATGGACAGGAGGGTTTGGGAGTTTGTAACGGATATTTTTATTGTTGACTTTTTTACATAAATCGGGCATTTACCTTTTTATACCTGTGTCAGAATTCGAACCATGCGGTACACCTCTGGCGTAGTGGTATGGATGTAGGCACTTAAACTCCGAGGATCTTTTTCAACTCTCGGTGCGGAAAAATAATTTGCTGCTTGACAACACTTTTGCTGGTCATGTAATTGTTTAATATTGCGGAGCTTTTACAAACAAAGCGAGAAATTGTGTGCTTTGAAACATCACTCCTTTTTTTTATTTTCCGTTGATGAAATACTTTTGCAAATGTAATGAACTGTAAAAATATAATAAAATATAAAATGTAATAAATCGTGAAATGTTTTGAAATCAAGCAGAAGAAATGCAGCAAGACATAATGTACTTCACTAACGTGAATATTTACTTTTATTACTTCTCACGCGAGGGAAGGTAGATCAGTACATTACGTTTGCAGAAAAATATATTTTTTCATTCCAAGCATGCTTCCGGATTTTATTAAGAAATCTTTATGCAGAAATATTGAAATTTTTTATTGCATATTAAAGGCTTATTTCAGAATTTTTATGTTATATTGCATATTTTTAAAAAATTTCAAGATTTTGTAGGGTATAAAATTTCTCTCCCTAATTGTTGACTGCTCTTTGATACGTGTTTCTAGAGCTCTCATGGTTGTGCCTATGCATTTGCCAGATCAATCTTGGCATGAAATAATTTAGACTGTAGGAATTAGATATTTTTCCATTTTTAATGAACCGACTGAAATTTACAGTAATTTTAAAGTTGGTAGTGATATTTCATATAGATCGTGATTTTGTTATGGAATTGGAGACTAAAGGTACATATGGAATAATGAATCTAGTAGGTTCAGTAGGTGCTAGAAGAGGCAGTATTATAATTTCTAGTACATGCAGTGTGGATATAATGGAGACAAATGTGGATAAATTTATTTAAAAAATAGGGGGTAATCATTGGCCAACAGAATTGAAAAATAAACTGTGTTGAGGTATGTAGAGTGAAATGTAGTGTTGGAAGGTTTAATTAAAAAATCGCTGGCACATTGCCTAAAAGTTATTTTAAATATTTTTAAAGCTCCTGAAAAATTGTAGAACAATTGAGCGGGCAGTAAATAAAAGTTAAAAAAAGAGCACATGACATACCACAGCACGGGGAGTTGTTTGAATCGCTTATACGCTGCCGGTATTGTAGTGATCCAAAGTATTCATAATAAAATGCATCTGGTTGCCAGCTCTATCCCTCAGGATAAAAGTGACTCTAGCTCTCAACCTCATTTTCAATTCTAGCTTCTTCACTTTTAACCAAAACATTTACCAGCCCATTAAAGAATCACCTATGGGATATACTTTGTCCCTCTATACGCAGAATTGATCATGAGAGAATTGGAAAATTACCTCTTGAGCAATATGAACTTTAAATCTATTAGTTATTGTAGGTATGTCAATGGCATATTTTGTATCATCCCAGCTAACCAAGTTAATAATATATCTAATATAATATGTTCAATTCATACGATCCTAAAATTCGTTTTACACATGAAATATAAGATGGGTCTACCAACTTCCTGGATGTCACCATCACCAATTAAAAGGATCAATTAATCACTAATTAGTTTAGAAAAAGCCTCTATTCTGCGAGATTACTTATTTTCATTCCCAACATCCTGTACAACACAAAAAGGCTATTAAAA